GCTCCATTCTCATTCCCTTAAGAGAATGTGATAGCAGTATGTGATAAGTCTGAAAGAAGACAAAATTATCACTATGAATGTATCAATGGATGTGGACGTGGCAATAGACGAAATTATAATCGTCATCATTGTGATAATGAGAATAATAAGGATTCTCAAAATAATCCCCCACTTGTGAAAATATTTGTCATCGATTTGACATGAGATTTTATAAAGCACATATAGATGATTATGGTCTATTCATGATGTGAATGTGACAATATCTGATTTAAGAATACATATTCATTTTTGGAAGAATATGAGCGTGCTAGCGGTATATACCACACTCACCTCTAGAAGGAGGTTTGAGATGATATAAGAAAATAATGTCATTATTATGGCATGAATGGTCATTGGTCACGTACCTATTGTACGCCAAAATATTTTGGCATTGTGATTGTTAAAAGACAACGGTAATGCAAGAAACAGATCTTGCATATAATTTTGACCATAACCATAATGTTATAACTTTCTCTTTAAAAGAGATATCCACCGTATAGGTGTTGATGAATATGTGGTACTACAAAATTAATTGAGAACTCTGCAAGAGCCAATTATACTATTTTGGAGAAACACAATTAATTACCAATAAGGTATTGTGTTGTAGTAAGTCTCAATGAAACCTATTCAGTTTCCAAAGTATACGCGAAAGCGGTTGATTATATTGAGACAATAAATAAAGGAAAGATTTAATATCTTCTATTACTACAACTTGTAGCGGGGTAGTATGTATGTGAAAAGCTACCCACTTTATTCTCCAATTTGTACTACATAAACAAAAGAATACCACAATGAAGTGGATATTTATTGATATAAAAACCCATATCATAATAAACTTGGAGTTTATTCATAATTGCACACATCATGGTGTAAACCCGAAGTTTATCAATATTGATAATTTATCCAGTTGGCATACTTGGTTTAGTCATGTTAATTCATGTATGATGTGCAAATATGATAGAGAATTCACATGGGTAAATGTTAAAGAACTAGAAAGTTCTTTACGAATTCTCTTATGTTGCTTGTTCTCATTAATTAATAGACCAATTAAAATTGGGATTGAATCCCATGAATGCTGGAAATATCAAAGGTGAATATGGGCCCATTCACCTGCCATGTATACCACATAAGATGCATCTATGAGATGGTTACATGTGCGATTATTATTAACCCGCAACATGGTATTTGCGAGGTAACTTGCTCAATAATTTAATTTAGAGCATATTCCAGATTTTCTATTCAAGAAGTTCATCTTGATAAGTTGTTCTACATCACAGCTAGTTTAGCAAAATAATTTATTGAGTGCCTCCACTTAATAGCTAAACAATTGCTTATGAGAACAAAGTTTTATATATCAGTTTGATATACGTTATATACGAAAGTATACTAATTTCTCCCCTCACAAGTGGTTCATGGTCAGGAACCAAATAATTCCATCTTATTATTATTGATGTGCGGTGTATATTTTGATTAACACCATAACGCACAAAGATGGGTTTTCAAAGTTGAGAAAACAAGTTAGTTTTTCTAACATGAGGGAGAGACATGATAAACAGTTGAGAAAAGGTTACGTGGAATGAATTATCACTTGTACATCTAGATCCTCGAATAAGATAATATGAACTTGAAGTTCATAAAAGGATAATTCAGTTGCAATATATTGCAAAGCATGCCAGACGCTTTTGCTGACTCAAAGAAAGTAACTATATTCTTATTGCAAATGCTCCTATTAAGTCCTAGAAGGACAAAGACTATGGTACGCTTGAAGCGTATAGACAAGTCGGTTTCAAATAAACTTCTTGATAAAGAAGATGAGCAAATGATCTAAATGATCATAATAAAGGAGGCAAGTGATCTAGAAGATCACATGACATAACACTTCATAAATCTCATGAGAGATTCAGGTACCTGAATATATGAATGAAGAGATCTCTATGTTATGTCTTTATGAAAAATAAGGAGGTTGGAACCGATATAAAATATTTGTCGACGACATCTATAATAGCGTTAAATATATATGAGGATCTTAAGTCTAGAGAAACAATTCAAATAGAATTGGTTTCATATGAAAGACATGTAGTTTTGGACATGTAGTTCAAACACTTGAAAGTATAAAGTCAATGGTATGTGCAATCAGTTTTCGATATCTTATATGTCTAGCATGACATGAAAACTTGATATACATCTAAAGTCTATTATATGGCTTATATGACTTAACAATCCGTGAAGGATTTAAATTGCTTAAAACATATAGAATTCATGGTCATGAAGTACTACATCCTCAGTGCAATTTGTGCACAAATGTATCTTGCTATAACTATATGCATGATAATATGATAGCAAGAGTTTTCACCTCTATGTGAAGATATTGAACTGACGACTCCAACAAGATCATATGAAGACAATTCATCTCTATCAAGAATGATGATTTCAAGGTGCAATATATTCATTCAAGTTAATATGCCTGATTTGTTCATCAAATCTCTACCAAAGATCTTTTGAAGATGGTGCACAAGATTGGAATGCAAATGCTCAAGGATGTGAATTGATGCTCTCATCAGGGGGAGTTAATATGCGTTGTACTCTTTTTTCCTTACAAGGTTTTGTCCCACTGGGTTTTCCTTGCAAGGTTTTTAACGAGGCAACCAAAAGGCGTATTGTTAGATATGAGTACTATTTTTCCTTCTCTAGAATTTTTTTCCCACTGGGTTTTATTTTAGTTAAGGTTTTAACGAGCCACATTATCTGTTGAATAGACATTCAAGGGGGAGTGTTATAAATACAATTATATTTATGGTGAATGTCTATATTTAGAGAGATTCTAGGGTTCATTGCTTGGTGGATAAGCCACCGTCTCCCTATAAATAGATGGTTCTATTCTATTGTAATTCATCATAAATATCAATAAGAATTCTCTCTCCCTACTTTCTCTGCAATACTACTCTTCTTCTTTTATTGTTTTATAACACTTTCTCTATTCATTTATTTTTTAAGCTAGCCAATTAAGTAATTCGTTAACCAAAAAGAGGGTTGAGAATCAGTCAGTTGGATTGCATGCTTCTAGTTATATTACCCAAAACTTTAACATCGATATAGGTTTTTGACCCAACCCATCCTGAATTGTATCGCTAAACCTTTCTAGAGTTGGAGGGGTTACATAAATTTGATTTATTTGAAATATCTACTTTTAATGTACTTAATATTCTATTAGTATTCTTTTAATTTTCCTGGTGTTTGATATCCACATATTTCAATTAATTTGATTTGAACCACAAAGATCATTAAAAAAGAAAGTGCTCCCAGTTCAATATTTTATTTTCATTTCGAGCTAAAAATTTGCATAAAACAAATTGCCCAAAACTACGTAGCAAATACGTCGTATATAAGCTATGGGTGTTAACCGGGTGGGCCGGTCCGGTCCGGGCCAGTATTATTTGGACCCGTACCAGTTTGGTTCCGGGCCGGTTCCGGGCTTTCTCTTAACGGGTTTAACGGGTTCGGATTAATCCGGGTAAAAAATAAACCGTACGGGTTGAGGGGGCCGGGCCGGGCCGGGTTTAGTGTTTTTTTAATTTTTGTTTTAATATTTTGTATAACTACTGTAAGTTATATTAGTACTTTGTATTAATATAAAGAATACAAGAAAGATGGGGAAAAATTGCACTTATAAATTGCAAGTGCTACATTTTTCAAAATTACAAAATTAAAGTTTGCATTTAAAAAGTAAATTAACAAAAAATAGTAAAACTAAATTTTTATGCATAATAAATTAATAATACTTCAAATTAATCTAACAAACTAAAACATTAAGCATAAATACGTCTAATAATTTAAAATAACACAAATTGTCTTATAATCTTAAAATAACACATATATAGCATATTTTAAAAATAATACGTTACCATCATATTCTATGATTTTAACATTTATAGTTTTATAGCCTAAATATATACAAATTCCAACAATTTTAAACTATGTTAATTAGTATACAATAATTGGTATATTCATGGTATATTAATGGTATATTCATGGTATATTCATGGTCTGGGTCGGGCCGGTTAAACCGGTTAGAGGCACTATTCATTAGACCGGGTTTAACGGGTCCGGTTAACCGGTAAAAAATAGTAAACGGTCCAACCCCCTCTACCCCTCCTACCCAGCCCACCCGGCCCCTTATGAACCGGGCCAGTCCGGTTCCGGTTTTAACCGGTATGGGCCGGGCCGGTTCCGGATCAACCCGGCCCGTTAGACACATTTAATATAAGCGAACAACTTGCGGGAACTTTCAATTATTAGGGCTCGTTTGGTATGAGGTATAAGGAATAATTAATCTCATGACTAAATTTAAGAAGAGTTTATCCCATGTAGGAGTGACAAACGGGCGGGTCGGGTCGGATATGGTTCGGGTTGAAAACGGGTAATGAAAAAACGGATCAATTATCCGACCCGACCCATATTTAATACGGATAAAAAACGGGTGAACCGGCAGATAATATGAGTTACCCATATTAACCATGACTTCTTGTATATGATCACTTTTGAAAGAATTCTTAGTTTCTCTAACTTGAGGAACCCCCAATTTGAGGCTTTACAAATGTAAAAGTTAGACCCAATATGATTCTTATCCATATTTGACCCGTTTTTAAAAAGTTTATTATCCAATCCATTTTTTAGTGGATAATATGGGTAATTAACTGCTTTCTTTGAACCATTTTGCCACCCCTAATCTCATGTTTGGTTGGGAGAAAATTGCGGCATAATTAATTTCGAAATTAATTATCCCGAAATTTTAATATTTTTTTAATCCCCATAAAAAAATAAAATAATTCGAAATTAACTAATCTCGAGATAATTAATCCTGAAATAATATCTTTCCAACCAAACAATTCCTAAGGAACTAACAGCAAAAAAGGCCTTAGCACGCGGCATATAAAAACCCTGTTGGCCAAATCCACCTTCCTAATTTGTCGTCTTATCTTTTCTCTTTATTTTATTTTCGGCAAACTTTGTCGTCTTGTGATTCTGTCCAAATACATTTTCGTCGTCCTTACCTTTTCCCTCTGCTGACAAATTATCAAATTGTACAAAACCGTGTGCTTTCAGTCGTCACGCCCCAAGATTCGTTCAAAAACAAACGTCGCCTCCTCTTTAGCCCCTCACACATCTCTACACATATAGATAAAACCCCAACCTCCAACAAAAATATTGATATCAAATAGACCTTTTTTATTTCTCATACAAAGCCAATAAAGGGTTTAATTTCAGTGGATCGTGACAGGCAAAAATGTGTAAAGGATTTCAGCAAAACGAGAGAGATCGTTTGAAAATCAAAGCTTTTTATCTCCATTTATCATTTTCGTCACCTACCAAAAATGCTTTACCCGATTGTTTAACACAGCATTATCTTCCAAGAATAAGTGAAAGTCCATTGGAGATTAACGAGTCCAAGATCCGATCCAACGCGCCGGGTTTCGTTACGCTCCACCGGGTCGTGTCACCTGAGACAAAAGGGGTCATTTATGGAAGTAGAGATAGAGTTAAAGCGAGTGAAGGAGTAAGGTTCGAAATATACATGGCTGATGTAAAGATTTTAAGGGGTATTTTCGGGAAAGATGGAGTTGAGGAAAATTGGAGAATCGATTGCAAGTCAATGGTCGAAAATGATGATTTGCACGTAAAAGGGGCGGAAGTGTGTGTGGCGGTGGAAGGACGCGCCGCCGGTTCAGCGGCGGAGGTGATAACTGAGAAGGTGGAGATGACGGTGAAGAGGAGGAGACCACGGCGGAGGAGCTGTTTTCAGAAACTGGAGGAGATTCCTGAACTAAGAGAAGTTGAAAATGAGATTGAGGGGTCCACTTGTTGTTGCTCGGAGTGTGAAGGTGAAGAGGATCCCGACGGCGGAGACACGGCGGAAGAGGAGGCTGAGACGGAGGGAGTTGGGTGGGCATTAGATGCGGGGTTATGGGTGATGTGCCTTGGGGTGGGTGTTGGGTATTTGGTATCTAGAGCTTCTTCTAAGAGATTAAGAAGAAGGAGCTTCATATAAACTTATTTTTAGTAGTAATTAATACGATTATTTGCTGTAAGTTCTAACAATAGGATTTTAGAGGAAGTTTTGTACAAGTAGCTGAGTCTATATTGAGAATTTGAGAATGATCTTGATATTGCTAACCCAATTTAAATAATAAAATTATAATTATAAAATACAACAAAGATATTAATACGGTCGATAAGAAGTATCAATAGTAAAATCATGTCTAAATAGAAAATATTCTAACAGTAACTTAATAAAATTATAATTATAAAATACAACAAAGATATTAATACGGTCAATAAGAAGTATCAATAGTAAAATCATGTCTAAATAGAAAATATTCTAACAGTAACTTAGTAATTAGTATTGAATATATGAGAGAATATTTAATGGCAGGGTAGAACTTATTACTATTGACATATGGATAAGGACTAAATATGAAGTATAAACATTTCAAATTTTCGAATATCCAAAAATCAGAAATACAAAATCCAATATTCAACCCAAAATCCAAAAAAATTAAAAATTCAATCTAAAATTCAATCCGTAATCTGAAAATCCAATCCAAAAATCAGTTGGAATTTTGAATTGCCCAAACTATGCCCACCCCTAATTATAATGGTTAAATAGGTTCAATATGATTGTATCACCTCAAAATGACGTTAATTAATCATCTTTATTTTGCTTCCTCTATCTCTACCAATTAAAGCCTTATATCTATTTTTGGTTTATCACCTTTTATTACCTTAATCCAGAGCCACTTCGAACTTTGATTCATCGTCCCCCGCCCTCCCAATCGATAATGCCTATTAATTATGAATTTATGATTCCTTATTTTTGGTTTCATAATATAAACTCAAGACATATAAGGCTAAATAATTATTTCATTACATAGCCTTTAATGATGTAGTTGAATGAATAAATAAAAGAATTGTATCTCTGAACCTGAAGCCATAAGTATGGTCCATTTCCTCCACTATATTTTTAGGTAGACGCACCTAGGGCTGTGCATAATTTGGTAAATATCGAATTACTGTACCGAAATAGAAAATTTTGGTATTTGGTATTCGGTATGGTATTTCGTTTAAGTTTTAAAAAATATTGGCATTAGATATGGTATTTGGTATTTTAAAATGAAATACCAAAATACCGATACCGTACCGAAATATATATTATATTACACAATACACTTATTATTAATTATAACATGAATATAAAAATCTAAAATTTTACTTTCCTTTATTCTCTAAGTTCATCAATTAACTCTAAGTAAGTAACAAGACATTTCTAATAATCAACTTTATTCTTTTATGTACATTTTTCTCTCTCTAAATTAATATTTGCTAGTTTTGGACAAAACTTTTGTCAACAAATATTTTTAGTTTTGTACTTTTGAGTACTTTAATTCAGAATACTACATTCTATGATTCTATGCACTAGTTAGTATTCAAACCGAATAAACCGAAGTTACCAAACCGATTAAACCGAAACCGAAGGGAGAAAAACCAAACCATACCGAATTTTATTAGGTACGGTATTGGTATTGTACTATAAGAAACCGAATACCGAAAATACCGAACCGAAATATTTAAATACCGTACCGTACCGTACCGACCGACAAACACCCCTAGACGCAATTGCATGTTGCTAAAATCGTCAATTTTAAAACTTAGCTTAATTATTCTGTTTTTATCTCAAAATTTCACATTTTTTTTGGTCTAAAATGTTGTTGACTAATACTTGAAATAGAAAATGGACGAATTCGACACTTGTATTGGGTAAAATCTGACAACCCCAATCGGGACGACCACGACCACATCCTTGTCATCATATGAAAAAAGTCAACGAAGTCATTTTGACTCCATCATTACAACATTCGACATAAGTGACGAGGGTAAGTCCTCCCCCCAACTAGGAAGCCCCCATAATTCAGTCGTGACAAGCTGTGACAAAGGGAAGAAGATTTCTTTCGACTATAAATATGAAGTGAAGAGAACCAAGAAGGGGGCTCCGACTGCTCCTTCTTCTCCAACACTCCAATAGGTCAAAGAAGGGAGAACAAAACTCTATTCTAAGAAGGGGAAACTCCTATCTTTGAACAAGTCTAACCCCCCTCCCCCCCAGTGACCTAGATTCGGGACTTTTCTTTGTTTTTATTGCTCATGGTTGGATGTTTTTTTTCTTTCTTTTTGTGGTCTGCTTTGTAGAAATATTTCCTAATCAATGACAATGCACTTTTTCTCTTGATCTATGTAGCTTCTGATCTTAATAGTTAAATTTTTGTCAAAGTTGATTATTGATTAACTGAATCATGTTTTCACTTGCAGTTGCCCCAGTGGCCATGAGTAATAATTAAAATCTGGGATTCACATTATATGCAACTTTTCGATGATGCCAAAAGGGGGAAGAACTATTGTGCTTTACTTTGTATTCTGAAATAAAGTGATATTTATAATCTGATTAAACCTGGTCCTTAATGATAAGTTAAGATTTGTAAGTTCAAGTGTTGATAATTAAGCTGAGTTCCACAGGTTCTTTGATCAGTAAAAGCACATAGTTTTTCATCATCAAAAAGGGGGAATTTGTTGGCCCAAGTTCAGATGAAGTTTTGAAGATTGACAAAATGAACTCAGTCATGGACCAGGTCCATCATGTGATACACAGTGGTTATCTACCTATACGCGTGAGATGCACATGAAGAAGATAAGTCCCAAGGATCAGCAACAATATCTTCTCAACTGATCGAAAAGGTTGCATAAAGGATGTGAAGAGAACTAAATCCGGATCAAGAATAAGGGTTGGAGTTTGTATTGTTCTAGGACTCAAATTCGATGAAGGATCAGCAATTGAGTCTCAATCAAACTCTGATTACTAACTCTTTAAATAACTATGATTGTTCTCTTTTACAGGTGTTGCACATACGCAGAAGTTAAACTAAATTGAGAGCAAAAGAGCTAGGCAATTTTGCAAGCAATTTATGTGAGATTCAAGTGTACATTCCTGAAGCTACATGAACAAGATAGAAGAACCAATTCCATTGTGTCTTTCTTTTATTCTAGTTCAATTGTAGTAGGTGTTTTAAAGTTGTACCTTTCCAGCTTCCATAGAAGCAATTGTATTAGGTATTTTGAGTATTCAAGTTAGAGTTAACTTGAAAGTGTCGCAACAGTTGAGGCTGTGTGCCACACTGGGATTAGAGTTTAATCTTTTGGTTTACAAGAGTTTTGTAAATGCTGTTTTGGCTCAGTGATTTTAGTGGAAGTTTGGGAAAATCCTACTGAGTAGTAGGTCGTGGTTTTTTTCACCTTTTGAGCCAGGTGTTTTCTACGTAAAAATCTCTATGTTCTTCATTTTATGCACTCTTAATTCCGCAAACAGTAATAGTAAGTACATCTAGAAGAACCAGGTCCTTCTAGTGCGAAAATTAGGTACCACACAAATCATCCCCCCCCCCCTCCCCTCTTGTGTGGTATTAACGTTTAGAACATCAATTGGTATCAGAGCATGTTATCCTTGAAGAGGCTAACACCTTAGGAGAAGATCAACATGAGTGCACCACCTGGGAACTGGGAAGGGCAATCCACTGCTAGGCCTCCACTTTTCAATGGTCAGTACTATTCTTGGTCGAAGAACAGAATGAGAGATCACATCATAGGGGAAGACTATGAACTTTGGGACATAGTCACTGATGGTCCCCTAGCAACCACAAAGAAGAATGCTGAAGGAGTTGATGTGCCAAAGACAAGGGCTGATTGTACAGCTGAAGACCTGAGGAAGTGGGAGAAAAATGCAAAGGCCAAGAAATGGCTTGTGTGTGGAATAGGACCAGATGAGTACAGTAGGATCCAAAGTTGTACTACTGCTAAGGAGATATGGGACACTTTGCAAGTGGCCCATGAAGGAACACCTCAAGTGAAAAGATCAAGAGGAACACTTCTATATTCTCAATATGAGAATTTTACTATGAAGGAAGGAGAAACTATCCAGGAGATGTATACTAGATTCACTACTTTGACAAATGAACTTGAGTCTCTTGGAAGGATTATCCTTGAAGAAGACAAGGTTGAGAAAATTCTGACAAGGGTTCTGCCAGTCACATGGGAAAGCAAAATCACTGCTATTCAAGAATCCAAGAATATTGCTACCCTTAGACTGGATGAACTGATTGGAAATTTGACTGCTTATGAAATGAGAAGGCAAACCATGAAGATGGATACCCCCAAGAAGGAGAGAAGCTTAGCTCTCAGAATTGCTGAAGGTGCAGATCTGGAGGATGATGAAGTGGCTATGATCACTAGGTATTTCAAAAAGTACCTAATGAGAGGAAAGGGTCCTTCAAGAGGTACAACTTTTAACAAAACAAGAGCTCCAGAGAAACAGATCAATGAGGGTTGCTACAAGTGTGGAAAGACTGATCACATGATCAAGAACTTGCCCTCAATGGGAAATTGAGTGGAAGAAAGAAAAAGTTGAACGAAGGAACAGGTTCAACCCAAAAGAAACAAAGGTTCAACCAAGGCTATGGTTGCTGCTTGGGGAGAAACCTCAGATGAAGACTCAGAAGATGAAGCTGAAGAGGAGCAAGCACCGATAGCCATTGGAGAATCAGATGATGAACAAGAAGTAAGTATTCTTCATCTCAAAGACAAGATTAAATTCTTGTCTAAAGAAAGGCTGGCCGAGCTATTACTAGACTTCATTGATGAGTCTGAGATAATTAATAATGAAAAAGAAGTTCTGTCTAGGGAATGTGTGATCCTTAAAGCAAAATGTAAAAGTCTAGAGTCTAGGGCAAATGAGAGTGATAACAAAAATGCTGAGTTGAAGAACCGGGTTGTTGAACTTGACAACAGTATCCTAGAACTTAGGTCTGAAAACTTAAAACTGAAATTAGGAACAGAAAAGAAGAAAGCTGATCACACATATCTCACTCTAGAAGAGAATTTGGGAAAAATAAAAGATGAATTGTACAAGAAAGATGAATTCATCAAAGTCCTAAAGGAAGATCTAGGAAAGGTGAAACATGAAATAGACAGAACTTGCAAGTGGAACAAGGCTTCTGATGCACTCTCCTGGCAGCAAGAGCATCATAGCAGTAACAAAAGAGGACTTGGCTATGGGACTCAAG